TCAGACCCCATCCACACCACACAACTCTCAAGCCTCGTGAAAAACCCACAAACTGCTATGCACCACACACATCAAGCTTCTGCAAGAGCAATATTTAATATTGCAAGCATGATATCAACAGCATGCACAAGAAAAGACTCACACATGCAACGACATGCACAGACTCACCATGCTGTAAGATCGACCCAAAGCTACTTGACATTGCACCAAGTCTTGCCATGTCAACATAAAGCAAGCTCGAACGACAACCCCCATCTGCATCCAGGACACATCGAATGTTGGGTCATCCACTGGTCCTTCACGGTTCCTGGGCGACCAGCCAATCGAACAGTCCACAAACAACTGTTAAACGAATTAATTACATTTAGTGGAGCATGAAGTTTTTGATCATGACTGCGGGCACGTTGCTACAGCTCAAAAACTGTACACCTTTGTAGATTTCAGCAGCCGGTCTTCCAGCTGATTCCAGGCATGTCTTCAACATATGCATCCAGAACGATGCCGAAAGCAAAAAGCACAACGGAGTCCCGATCTTACCAAAAGCTTCGCACAAGCTGTGGATACTCGACGAGGCTTCAGTTCTCCCTGTTCGGTCATTACCAAGGCCGCAGTCTCATTGCCAAAGGATAAGGGCTCTGGCGGCTCCAGACAGAAAGCATCATCAAAACCAAAATTAGCGTCATCCTCATCCTCATGTTCTCCAGTGGCTGTCCTGTCGTCCACGGGAAGTATTAGGTGAGGCGCCAAGCTCGGTTTCGCCACAGCCCTCGTCCTCTTCTTGTTCCGTCTCCCAGGAACGTCCTGCGACGTGCCCACATCTGACGATGCCTCCGTCTGCATGGCCCCAGCTGCAGCATTGTCCAATCCTCCACGGTCGGGACCAGAAGACGACGATGCAGGCTCCGCACCAGTGTCCCGTGTGCGAGGTACTCGACTAAGGAAACCTGCCACCGGAGTGCCCGGTACTCTCGAAGGACCATTGTCACGGGAGGCAGCCTTGTCATCCTCACCATTGTGAGTGGACATGGTGTGGCGAGGGCAGGAGACACCTGGGGCTTAGGCTTTAAGTTTTAGGGTTTAGGGTTTAGGTTTAGGGTTCTAACCGCCGGCACTGCTGCAAGCAAGAAAACTGATCAGAGACCATTACGTGGGACTGACTGACATGCACGACTCGAGCCACAACAGTCCTGCACTCCTAGACTGCAAGCCATCCCAGCAACATGTGCAGTACATGTCTCGTGCTTGTCTCGCTGCGACAACCTCAACAACACTCGCACAGCTCCGAGTTCAATGCAAGGCTGACAGTACAACGTCTCTACACACAAAGCCGCAAGCTTGAGTGGCAACATGCAGCAAAGAATCCAAGAGATGGGTCCCGGGGTCCCGGTCCAGGTCCGGGTGCATCGAGTCATCCACTGTTCCTGGGCAAGCCAGCAAGCGAGCCAGCCAAGAGCAGGGCAGATGCCAGTCAAAGTCATCAGACGAACAAACACGTCAAGCCACAGCAACTCCTGCAATCGTGTCTGCACATGCCTACGGAATGCACAACACTTTCCAGAACAAGATTCATGCACCTAAGTCACTCAAGCCGCATGTCGTGGCATCATGCTTTTTGTCAAGAGCATCGAAGTGCAGTAAAGTGCAAAAGTGGACAAGCTGAGCAAAAGCGAGGAACTGCATGCCCGCCGTCAATTTCCGCACGGCTACAGCTAAGGCTACAGCCGCAGATTTCTACGTGGCCGCCAAATGCTGAACACCTGGCACAACAAGAGTGTCCTACATGGTTCTATACACTCAAGCCAAGCCCGACTCAAGTCACCATGTTCGCTCAAGCCATGCCAAGCCAAGCCAAAGAAGCTGCCATCCATCACGAAGACCTTCCACGACGTGTTGTCCTTGTTGTCTTCTTGTGGCGACTGCCGCGAGGGCGGCGGCTGTCCCGGCTGTCGTCACGGCTGCGACGGTCACGGCTCCGGCTCCGGCTGTCGTAGCCATAGCTGCTGCCATCGCTGTCAGAGATCCGAGACCGCTTACGTCCACGTCTCGTCCGGCTTGCCCTCTTGGGAGTTCGAGGTTTCGTCGGTTTCGTCTTCTTGCTGCTCTTGCTCGTCTTGGGCTTGGTTTTCTTCTTCTTGTCCGGAGTCACAGCTGCATCCGCAGCCGAAGCCTCAGCTTCCTCCGGCGGTGTCGGTGTCGTCGATCTTGCAGCCGGAGAGGTCGGTGCTTCCCAGGACAAGGACACGCCACGAAACGGCACGATACATGTTACCTGGCTTCCCTCCACGGCGTCCACGGGTTTCAACTCCATCCTGCCATCGATGACCTCGCCCTGGCTGTATAGAGAGCTGGGCCGCGACTGAAAAGACAAGGAACAGGAGACGGAGACGGAGAACCGCCACGGTCGTCACGGCCAGCACCGTCAGCGTCACCTCCACTGTGCTTTCCGCCATCGCCACCTTCTTTCTCGGCATCCTTCGCCAACTCCTTCTCAGGGACGGGGGCAGGCGGGGGGGGAGGGGGCGGCGGCGGCGGTGGCTTTGGATAGTTGCTGTGTCCAGGATAAGGGACGAAGATCGGAACGTACGGGTACGGGTACGGGAAGGGCGGCGGGAACATATGCAGCCTCGCCCTCGCCCCTGGTGCCCATGCCGGAACTGGTGGCGGGGTCGGCGGCATGGGTTCGACTTTGGGAGCAACCTTGCTCGGCGGCGGCGGTGTGGGCAGACGTGGGCGGGCCTTCTCGGAGGACCGGGAGGGCGGTGGGNNGTGGGACGGGCCGTGGCCGGTGGCGGTGGGTACGGAGGCGGCTCGGGCTGCTTGACCTTTGC